AATTTATTATTTTTTGGATTTTTTTATAGGCCGATAAAAAAATATTTTTGATCATTTTTACGGTCAGGTCCTTGGGTATTTTTTATTTATTTGTAAAATTTAATTATTTTGAATGTTTTTGAGGGAATTTTATAAATTGTTTCATCAAAGGTACATTGAATGAACAATATGAATGAATATTAAATGCTTCAAATCATTATATGATTTTTCAAAATGATTAATTGATTTTTCAAAAGGATTAATTGATATAATTTAGATTTATTGTTTTGGAGTCAGAACCGGAAACTGCATATTATCTAAGAACCGTAGTCAGATCAGACCTGGGCGCCGAAGCCTTAATTGACGGCGGTGGTTTTTTGATAATTTTTTATCGGCGTTCAGCGGCGCGCTAATTCCGCTGCCACCTAATAAATTAGTGGCGGCTGCAGCGTGCTATTTATTTTAAAAAAATTTAAAAGAATTTAATTTATTATTTAATGTATAACATTTTTTTTATAATTTATTCATGCTCTTAGTTCTAACATTGTTAATAGAGTTTAATTCATTTCTTAAATTAACTATCTAACTCATATTTAAATTATGTATTTTCTCATTCTCAGATAGATTAAGCAATTGCATTTTTACTCAAATCAGAGTCAGATAAAACAATTTAATATAAATTTAGAATGCAAGCAAAATTTAAAGTAAGAAATATAATAAATTATAAATCAGATTTAGTAAAATTAAATAGTATTTTATTAAGATTCGTGGGACATAAAGAACACCTTTTTGCATTGAGTATTAATCCAGCGATAAAATTCTTCACCTGGGTGTATTGGTTCCAGGAATACAAAGAATCTTCCTAGCTAAATCAGCAAGCCAAGTAAGTTTAAGTCACTTTTTTTAACAAATAGTTAGTGCATCCTCTTCTGGAATACCATGTTGGCTGAGCAAAATATGGCATTCTTGCTCTTTATTGCTAATGTTGTTATAATCATGGTTTGGAAGGGAATGTTTATACTAGCTATTTTAGCTATATACAGTGGCCCCTACACTTTCTGAGCGAATGAAGCAGAATACCCCCCTGAAAAGTACCCCCTTGAATAGTACCCCCCTCCCTCGAAAAAATGATAATTATTTTATGACATATAAATTTCAAAAATAATTTTTATTGCATCAATTTTTAATATATAATATAAATAAAATGCAAAAAATATATATTTTATAAATATTATTTTTAAATGAATAATTTAGATAAATTAGGGGAAGAGAAAGCGAAAGAATTTATAATTTCATCAATATTTAATTGTTTAAATAAATTTTTTTCCATTGATAATATGGTTAAATTATTGAGAAATGGATCTTTCATGGTACTACGAAGTCTTGTTTTAATTAATTTAATTTTACTCATGACTCTTTCGGCAGTACATGAGGTTGTAGGAATGGTTAATAAATATTTATATAAAATTGTTAAATTAGGGAAAGCAGAAAATTTTAAAAGTAGACGATAAGGTAAAATAAATGAATAGTTTTTCCAATCTGAATCGTAAGTCTCTGAATTATCATCATCAGAAGAAGCTAAATAATGTATTGGTAAAAATATTTTAATTGAATAAATTTACAATACTCAGAATCTGATAAATCTTTAGATTCTTGAACCTCTAGGTCATGATTAATAATTACATTCCCCATTTTAGCCATCTTATAAATATTTCTAAACTTCAACATTTCTTCGAAAATTTGACTTGAATTTAAATTGTAAAATTCACAGATATTCTCGATATCTTCTTTAATAATTGATTTTTCTGCCATTCCCTTTGGCGTAAAAGATGATGTTTGATGTAAAAATATCATCGAATCATCATTAAATCTTTCGTTAAACTGCATAACAATTAAATCGAGTGTAGCATAAAACACTCCTATTTTAAAGCTAAAAAAAATTTCTAAATTTAATGATGATATTTACCTCTCCTTTTTGGATTGTAATGTTTGAAGTCTAGAACTTTCAAAATCAAAAGGTAGATATCTCTCCTTCACAATATCTTGTGCCTTTGAAAAAACATCCAAAAATCCAGTGTTATTATCTATTAGATTTAAAAATAATTAAGACAATAATTTATATTATACTTCTCAAATTAATCAAGCAATCTTTTGCCAATTGAATTTGATTTATTGCAAACCCTATATCCTTCGAAATGGTTTGCAATTTTGTACAAGCCGTTATCAACAATTTTATCCAAAACACAAAGTGATAAGATAAAATCAAAATTTTCTATTCTAAAGACTATAGCACTAGCCATAGTGGAAGTGGCAGGATCTTCAGAATCCTTTAAATTTGTTAAAGCTGCCCTCAAGCATCATAAAGTAGAAAAAACAATAGCTTTATATGACGATAGCCAGCTTCTAAATAATTCAAAGCTTTTCTTTATATCGTTAAAATTAAGCCCACCATGTCTTTTTCTAATATGATCTATCCATTTATCATCTCTTATATTATGCGATTTGCAATTTTTAATTAGGCATTTTTATTTTTTTTGGTTAATATTTTTAGGCATATTTTAAAATTGGAAAAATAATTTATGACAAGAAATCTCGGTTAACGACCTAATTTACTAAACATCGACCAAAATTTCCGTCAATATATATTAAAAATATTAAATTGGGGGGAGGGGGGTCTTATTATTACATTTATAAACCAGAAATCACTTGATCATGATGGATGCAACAAAACAGAATTAAATAATAAAGAAAATTTAAAAAAAAAGTACCCCCACTTAAATTTACTGAAGCAGTTGCTTCGGACCCCCCTCCCGTTGTAGGGGCCACTGGCTATATATGAACTGGATGTTTGCCCATTTCGTCTTGAATCTCACTCTATGCATTTCAATCATCCTTTAAAAGTTATAAATGTCTAATTAAGAATTAATGATGTCGTAGAGTTCGAATTTATATATTCTGAAACAATTTTAAGATTTGGAAATCTCGGATCAAGTAGTGTCGCTAATATATAATGTTTAAAAAATAATTTTATTAATAAAAATATAATATTAAATAAATTACTTGAAATTCGGTAATTGGAAACCTATGATCAAGCTTTTAGTGCATATTTTCGGCAAATAATATCCAGCGATCAGACTTAGTGATTTGCACATGTCTTTCTATTTCACTGCAAAATAATAATCCTGAATTTATTTATGACCCCTTTTGGGAGGAAAGAAATTCCACCGAATATCGGAATCTGAATAGATTTAATAATGTGTAAAGTTCGTCATTTATATCCATTTGTTATTAAAAAGTTTTAAGGATATTTTATCTATTTTATATAGAAATCTTGAACACTACGGATACTTTCTAATTAAATTAATATGCTGTGCCAGCAAGTAGGACAATTTAATTTTTAAGCTTAAAGTATTAATTAGATCTGTTGGTGAAATGCAATTTAAATTATCAGCCTCGCTATCAAAATGTTCATCAAAGTATGGATGAGAATCATCAATATCCAAAATATGGCCTGTTTTATAAATTTTTTGCAGGCATTTACATTATTCATCCTCAATTTCACATTTCAAATCAGCTACTCGATATCTGAAGGCTGAAATAATTTCTTTAATTCTTTTAGTCAGAATATTAATCCTGGCAACTTTTTTTATGCCAACAACTGTAATTAAATTATGAAGTCCATGCCCTAAGCTTAAATGATACTTATAATCCCTCAATCTGATGCTTCTTTTGACATTACCCCAGAATCAGTTAGCATCTGTATTATTTTGTTTTCTAAATGGAATTCTTCTTCTATACTATCTATCTCAGATAATATGGTTTTACGAGTATGCTTTTGCGGCACGCTTCTAGTTGACAGAGTGAAATATTTTAAATCAATATTATTAATTAAGAAGACCAATAATTTCGACGCTTGAAATGATCTGTCCATAAATCAAAAGTGATAAAACAGAATTTTGATCCTGAATCAATCAAATTTAAAACACACGCCTTTATTGATGAATAAACATAAGTGCATTCAGACTAATGGTTATCCTATCAGGCAATTCTGTCAAGAAATCAAATATCATATTATAAAAAAAATCGGCGGCGAGAGCCATGCTGCTCATCTCAATCGCGGCTTTTCCGGCGTGAATAAAATTACCGGTGGCTCCGACCTGAGCCGGCGGCGCATTCAGCCTTTTAATTCAGGTTTTCAAGCTTTGGATTTTCTAATTATACTTTGGAGGATGACCGTGGTCCGGTTCATGTATGTCGGACCGTTCGTACTGAATTATCGAACAATGACCTTCATTGGAGTGGGTTTCCATTGTTTTTTATATTTTCTTTATAAATAAAATGCATGAACATTATTCTAAGAAATTTAATCTTATTTATTTCTCCCATTTAAAAAATATCATTGTTATATTATATAATATATATTTAAATTATTCCATGGTGGAGGAGATAGGAACGGAAGAATTTGAAAAAGGGAATTATTATAATAATGTAAGTTAATGTTATAAATTTTATGAGTTAAGAAAAATGCTATTTAATAAAAACCATATGTTATTTTTTATTGGTAAAATAATTTGTTTTAGTTTTTTTTTTGCGAAAGAAAAGTCTAGATTCGAAGCATAATAAAATTTAATGTTTAATCTTTTATTTACCTTTCCCTTTTTTTTAAATTTATTTGTCCCTTTTCTCTCTTTCACCTTTCCTTTCCTCTCCTCTCTTTTTTTATTTCCCTTTCTTTGTTCCTCTTCTCTTTTCTTTATTCCAAATCCAATCCTCTCTTTCTCTATGTCACGGAATACCTGCGGTTGACGTAAACAATAAATCATTGATAAAATCTTTACAAATAAATAAAATAATAGCATTTTCCTAGAAAGAATCATTTTATAATACTTTAAAGAAGAAATAAAAGAAAATACAAACACATTTAAACAAACAAAACACATTTTATTTTATTATATTATATTTTTACTAGTTATAAAAATAAATTTTCATAAAAAATTACTTTTTTAATAATAAAAAAATTAAAATTTAAAACAGTAATATTTTTGAAATAATTATTTAATATTTTTTTTCCACAATTTAATAAAAAAATTTGAGATGAGAATAAGACATACTAATTTTGCATGAAAATCTCCGAATTCCTGGAAATCTTTTGATTCTTGAAAGTAAAAAAACATTCAAATTATTATATTATATAATATAATATCTTTCTTTCCTCGCACATCTACTTTATAAAATATTCCCTTATGCAGGATATGTATAATATAATATACTTTTGCATGAATATGAGTTTGTTAAAGGTCATATTGTTTTAATTGTTTTACATTTAAAATAGATATGATGATAGATTTAAAATTATCTTATTTTTTAAAATATTCTTACGGATTATTAATGGAATGGATTTGAATCAGCTTATATCTATTTATATATAACAAAAAAGGATGTGTTCTGCAAGTCGTCTCAAAGTCGAAACAGTCAAAAATATTTTCTTTTATTAAAATTTTAGATGAATTTCTTTAGCAATTAGTATTTTTAAATTCATTGTTTTTCAATTATTTGGCAGACTCAGGCTAATGAATTAGGAGTGGGCTTAGGCCTAGAAAAAAAAATGAATTTGCAGAGCACACGCATGGCGAGAAATATTTATTTCCCTCTCCTTTAGATTTTTTGTAAATAATTTTATTTTTATACAATATATTTTCATGCGAAATAGATATGTTTTGACTGGGTTACGGAGGAATTGACCCCCCCCCCCCCCCAAGGAATTTATTCCCTTAAACACATTTTTATTAATGCGTTTTATTTTTCACTATTAGACATGGGCACGGACCGTTAAAATCACCGTGACCCATCGCATTACTGCGACGAGAGACGAAGTGAGTGTGAATTTAGAAATTTTGCGGGAATCGCGTAAAATTTTACCAAATATCACCTTAAAAAACCCGACGTCTCTTTTTTTATACAGATTTTTTTCCAAGAAACTAAAAATTGAAAAAACTGAAATTTTTTTATAATTTCCAACATTTTTTTATTTTATAGAAAAGCCTATTGCACAATTTTTCGAGACCTGCAGGCCCGGCCCTAAGCCCATATTTTAAATTTTTAAAAATATTTTAAATGCCCATTAGCTATAAAAATTAAAAGTAAATGTAATGTATTTTAAAAAATATCCGGACTCAGCCCCGAAAATATTAATACCGGGCCGGGCCATGCAAATCGTACATCTGCAGGTCTCTGATTTTTTATTAAAGTTTTCGGTTAATTTTGAATCTTTTTTCTGGTCAGCCCTAGTCAGTTCGGTTTTCAGTGAACGACTATTTTCTATAGCCAATAATCATTTACTTTTTAGATACCTGTATCTATATCTAAATACATTTGAAATATCTTTTTAAAACTTATGTTTTATCTAAATGTCGGATTAAAAAACTGGGTTTTATTTAAAATTTCCTAAAATCGATTTTTAAAGCTTTAAATTTATAAATCTAAATGATAAAGCTTTTGATTTTTTTGTTACTTTAGGTATGATAACACACATTTGTCATTCTAAAAATTAAAAGAATCGTTATTTTTCATATCTTTTATGACACAATTATCTTTATTAGGTTGAGATTTTTACTCTTATATGACGAGAGTCTATAAATAAATTTGTAGACTAACGTTCCTCTGCACCTAACGTTTGTTCTTAATGTGCCACGGCCTCCTACATAATCAGTATCCATCCAAAGAGCATATCTAGACTAGTATTGTAAAATGGGAATATTTTTCTATGAACCGGAGGTGGGGATGGGGTTCAAACAATCAGCTCCTACCAATGAAGGCGTTTCTAATGAATAAATTTTTATAAAAGCTTTTAGTAGCCAAGGTAAACGTTCTTTAAAATATAAACATTACATAAAAGTTTGAGGAAATATATTGTAAGCCACTATTAAAATGATTGTATAGAGGGTGCCTGGGATTGGTGGTCGGCATTTCTTACTTTATTTCTAAACTACTTAACTTAAACGGTTGAAATTTTTTTCTAGTAAATAATTTAGAACCATGTATACGGGGTTATGAGTAAAGTTATCTTTAGAATTCATATAAGATTTATAAAGGCTACGGGATACACCCCCCCTCCCCCCCCCACTTCCCGCCCTTTACCTTTAAGAGTAACTTTTAAAAATTTTTACATTTTCTTTAATATAAATTTAAATATATTTTTTTTAAAACTTGAGTCTCATATTGTAGAAATATCTATATTATATCATCTCTCGGACCTCTTACTAAAATTAAATTATTATTAACATGGAGGGTTTGGCCATTTTTTATATTGTTGCTTTTTTTCCCTGACATTTTTACAAATTAATTATGGTCAAGAATTATATTTGAAACAAAAACCTTGTTTGTAAGAGAACATAATAATTTAATTATTTTTTAGTAACCAAGATAATAACTATATCCTATGCATCAATTAAACGTTATAATAAAATACCTCAATCTGATAAAGCTTTTCATAATCATATATAAAGACAAATTTTTTCCCTAATCTCAGGCGATTAAATTATGTGTATCACGTATTAACAGCTTCTTATTGATTTGCTATTTTTAGATTAGAAATAATTAAATTGCTTGATTCACATCAAAAATTAATATAAATTACATAATTGGTATTTGGTTTCAGTGTCTTAAAATTTAGCTTTAGGGAACATGGACCTTCTATATTTGTAATAAATTGTTCAGAAATTGAATAAGAATGATTTTTTACTTAATTATCGATTATTCAAAAGACTAGCGTATGGCTAAAATTATCCAACAATTTTTCATATAGGTAAATCTTTGATTTGCAAACCTATTTGCCTTAAAATATAACAATATTTGTGTAAAATAAATAATTATTTTAGAAGTTTGGCCATTTGAAAAGTGTGGTAACGCACCTACCCCGGTCTCCCTCTAATCTTTGAAATATATATATTTTAGAAAAATAATGAAAAGCAAGTGTAAATGTTGGAAAATTTATTTTAGTCATAATAATTATTAGAGAAAATTTTGTGAATTATATTTAATTCATTGCTTATTTCATAAGAATATTTGACGATATTTATCTAAATAAATATTCTCAAAAAATTTTTTCTAAATCCCCCAAAAAACATATGTTTAAAACGTCGATAAGAAAAGATTTCGATATTTTTTTTAAGAAAATTGTTCGGGGTAAAAATATGTCATTATATATAATTAAATAAAAATATATTTTAAAAACATTGCTCTGTGTGTTAATGATAATACAAAAAAAGATTTCTAATAAATAATGAAAATCATGCTCACAAACCTAGATTCTATAGCAGATATTGATTCCAAAAATATTGAGTTGTTATTTTGTGATTATAATTTAAAAAATATATTTATGAATTGTATAATCCATATAAAAATATTAAGTTTTTGGGGCAAATTTTAAATTCCAATAATTATAATATAATCCATTTTGTCATAAATCAAGTGATTTATTAATTTAAATTTAAGATTTGTATATATTTTTTGAATCATACAGATTTTCTCATCCATCCACCATTTAAATTATAACTTTTCAAATGCAAAATAAATGGGATACAAGTAAATAATGGACCTAAAAATCAATCACATGAATTTTTGAAAAGCTTTCGATTTACCCCAAAACAATTCTACTTCCTAGTTATAATGATCCGAAGTAAGATTTTATTGCCTTCAAAATTCGACTCCCATTTCTTTTTCATATCGATAATAATGGTATTTTTGGGCTCATCGAGTAGCACAGACCTGTCAGTACCTTTGGTTATTTCCAATGTTTCTGGCCCGGAATGTCCCAAATTTGACGAAGGTCATTGTCAATGTGTGAAAGCCGATTTGACCTCTTCCATGTTGATTGAAAGTCCTGGTAATCTTTCATCGGCAACCATTCAACAATTATTTTCCTCATCTCAACCTCAGCTAACTTATTCAACATCTAGCGAAGAAAATTCTGGAAATGGAACTCGCTTCAATATAGCATGTTCCTTTACCAAAGCCGAAGTTATCAAAGATGCCTTTAAAAAAATATCTGGACTCAATGTAAGCACTCTAACCCTCGTTCATAACGTTATACCTTCGCTAGAAGATGATTTTTTCAAGGATTTGAGTTACGTAGAAAAGATTCTCTTGAAATACAATCGTATAACAAACATAAGCGAGAATGCCTTCCGAGGTAATTTAGAACGCAGTTTGACGCATTTATTTATAGACGAATTCTATTGGTATAGTTTTCATTTCAAAGCATTTGATAACGTTCCATCCAAAGCCCTCATCAATCTAAAAAAACTTAAAGAATTCACGGCTTCTAGTGGTTACTTGACGAACATCTCGAAATCTATGTTATCAAGCCTGCCAGGTCTCGAAAGACTAACACTAAAAGGTTATAAGTTGGCCCATATACAGAACGATGCCTTTGCTGATCTAAACAACCTTAAATCCTTGGAAATCAAGAGCAGTAATTTAGCTTCCTTGCCTACCAAAGCTTTGAGCCGATTGAGTTCTCTGGAGGAACTGAAAATAGAATCGCGTAAGATTCAAACCTTAAACGATAGCTCTTTCGCGACGCTTAACAATTTGAAAAAGTTAGACCTATCTTCCTGCTCGATAAATATTGTGTCCGAAGACGCCTTTGAAGGTCTCGGAAAATCTCTAGTTCACCTGCTTCTCGATAGAAATTCGCTCAAGTCTGTCCCTCGCGCACTTAACACCTTAAAATCTCTGGAAGTTTTGGACCTTGGATTCAACGATCTCAACAATTTAGATTCAAACTCCTTCATCGCTTTGTCGAATCTTAAAAATTTAACACTAGACATGAATGGCCTCATTTCAATATCAGAAGAAAGTCTCAGAGGGCTAGAGTACAGTCTAGAATATTTGTCTCTGATGCAGAACCGGTTAACACATTTCCCTTCCAAAGCATTAAACGGGATGAAGAAACTTAAGTATCTCATATTATCGAGTAATATGATTATTGAAATACCACCCGAAGCCCTATCTCAACCGAACGAGATTATTGATGAAGGTAGCAGCAAGGACATTAAAATTAATTTACCAGACAAAAAAGACGGCAAGGGAGCTTACTCTGCCCCTATAAAATTAAGGACCTTAGACTTGAGTAGGAATAGAATTAACAAAATCTCAGGCTACGCCTTTGGAGGGTCTCGCGATTCCTTGGAAGTCTTGAATTTGGCGATCAACAAAATAATTGAATATCCCGTTCAATTCGGTGAATTCTCCAATCTGACTTACTTGGATTTGTCACTCAATAATATAGCCACGCTTAATATCGAATCATTAGAAGGAAGTCAAGATCGACTCGAGTTTCTGGGAGTGAGTGGTAAAATTTGATATCAATACATTACAGTTATAATAAATTATATCAAATATGTGTAATGAAAAAATGGTATACCAATTTGAGACAAACTTAATTTATTAATTTATTAAATTAAATGTTCGAATTTTTTAAAATGGTTTTAAACACATCCGAGAAAAAAAGAATTTCCTTTTAAGTTAATATTAAAATAAATTAATGAATTTTGTATACAAAAAATAAGATATTATTTCTTACTAAATATTTATAAAGAAACATAATAACAATTTCTTTTCAAAACAGTTTATATAGGAAAATAAGATTTGAGCTAGATACAGCGTTGGCTTTTTAAAATATTTATCTAGAAGGGGAGGGCATGAAAGCTCTTTTTAATTATAAGGTGTTCATAAATATAAAAATGATAATAAATGTTATATAAAAACCAGACAACTAAAAATTAGAATTTATTTTTAACCAAACTATTATATTTTAGGATATGCACATTCTTGCCCCTCACTCCTGACTTCAATGATTTAAGGTTTTGAAATTTTTGTTTGAATCAATAAAATTCTTTTGATGTAAAAAAAGATTTAATTATTAGGATTATTATAATTTTCTCACTATTCAAAAAGCATAAGTTTTTATTTATATAAAAAAATAAGTGAAAATATCAGGAATGGATATGGAAACCATTTTTATTATAGCTGAATGATTTATTTCATTTGCAAAAAAATTGGTTCTGTATCCGTAGTAATGGGTTCAGTTGGGTTTGATTCAGTAGGCCCATTGTGCTCGCGGTATGAATTATTTTTTAAAAATGTTTATAGGGAAAAAATCTTAAAATCAAAATATTTATTTAATCACTATTTTATTGTTATGCATTAAATTTAAATGTTAAGATTAACTCTGATATAATTTAAATATTTATATATTTTACACTAATGTAATGAAAATGGAATAAATATTTCCCACATCCAATTTTCTCTCTAAAACTTTTTATATTTTTTTAAAATTCATTTTATAATTGTGATATTTAATCCGATAAACGGAAATAAATAATTTCCCGGAAAAATAATCCCCAATAATAATTCATAGAAAATAATTGTCCGGAATTAATTTTCTCAAAATTTTTAAATATATTATTTGAGGATTTTTATTCCACGGATATATTTTTAGGAAATATTTTCTCCTATTATATTAATTTTGTAATTTTTAGTATCTTAAAAAACGGGGATTTTTTTTCCGAGGATTTATTTTATCCGGTAAAAAAATAATAAAGAATAGGAAGGAAATCTAACATTAATATGTTTCGGGCCACCCCTCCGATATTGTGTATAACATATAAATATGGGACAGAAGAGGATACATTATTTCTATGAAACCTCACTTCATACATTGATTGTTTAATCATAATTTTTATCTTGATTTGCTTAATCTTACCAAAAATCTTTGAGTAGAACAAGTCTTTCGAGCATATTATAGGTAAAAAAGAATGTAACCTAAGACAATCTAAATTTTAACAAATTATAACTTTTTAAAAAGAATTAGAATTGTGGGATTTCTTAGCTTTTTAATTAATAAATCTGGGTTTTATTATGTCAATAATTGTCAGTAATCCTTTTAAGTGCAACTCCTTTAATAGGTTAGAGAATTATGGGAAGCACATCAAATCCTATAAACATTTAAATGAATTCCTTCCTTCACATCATAGAAGTATCCCATTTGGGGTACTGAATATTTTCGATCACTTTTTTGAACTAATAAATCTTTCATCATCAAGATATTTGTCTCACACATAAACTCTCCCTTTTATCTATTGGCATTTATTATGCCTATTCAAAAACGAATACGAACTTTTTTAAATTTTCCAAAAAATCTTAAACCGTAAAATGGTATAAATTAAAATTAATAAATAAAATATAATTAATTTTCTTTGTGATAAATTATTACATAAAAATCTAGCATAATTATGAATAAATGACTGACGAATTAATTGACCTTGATGAACAAGGTGACAAAAATTCTTCCCCAAAAAGAGAAGCCATTTGGAAACAATATGGATATAATAACAAATAGCTGAAAAAGCTTCTTAAATCATTGCAAGTATTATAAAATGTAAATGAGTATCGCAGATTCTCTTTTTAAGGCTAACAGCCTATTTTAATGATCAAATTTTCAAACTAAATCCATAATAGTAAATCTTATTATTTGTATTTGTTTTTAAATAGGACTAATATGGAGAGTTTCCTCATCTAATTTATTTAATATCAGTATTTAAATGTATTTTGAAGCGTCGTTGAACACAAATCAGCTGGTGACGCGATAATATATTAACTTATCGATTTTCTTTTGATTCATTCGCTTAAAATAAGAAAAAATTTATTTCTTTTTTCAATCAGAATTAAGATCTGGCTTAAGAAAACTTGAAATAGGTAATGTTTACTAATGAGTATCCATATTTGGTTATATTCCTTGTTATAGAAATAGAAACTATATAAAGACTATTAGATAATTTTTATAAAGGTTTATAAATTCAAATTAGTTGTATTCTAGTAGTGAAGGTCATGGTACGGTCTTTGGTCCGATCTGTATTGGAGCCTGACCACGGTCCTCAGAGAAAAAACCGATCCAGACCGTGGTTCTAAATGAAAAGACCGGTGCAGGACCGGTTTTTTTGTTTTTTTTAATTAAAATATTTTTATTTAATTTAATTCTTATTTTATTTTATAAGTATGTTAATAATATCAAATCAAATATGAATAACATACTAAATAATACAAATTATTACTTGAAAGTTAAATTCTTTTTTAGACAAACCTTTTGCTTTCATAGAATATTTCAAAATAAAAATGAACTAAAAAAATCGCAAAAACTAAAGTAACTCTTAGAAAGATAAAATTTACACAAAAATTTGGTAAACATATGAATTAAATGGTAAAGCAAACTTGAATATTATTAAAAGACTGATCTGGATTGAAAAAATTGAAAGATTTATTTGGACTGCGATCCTTTGAAAAAAGACTGGCTCTCCAATCTGTCCCAGTCAAAGAAGGATAAAACTACCCTCACTAATTCGGAGGTTCTAGCTATAACTACTCAATACGATTTCTCAAAATATATTCAAAATCCTTTTTATTAATTTTTTTCCATATAATTTTTTTAATATTATCCTAAAAATATGTTTTAACAATTAAAAAAAAAGCCTTAATAACAACATGAGGCATTCTTTTTATATGATTTATAATCTATCTAATTAAAAAACCTATGGTATTTAATACGTGTAATCTCATTGTTAATTTTAAAACGAGTTATAAATAATATTTACAGTTTTTTTAACTTCTTCTCCCCCCCCCCCCCTGATTATTTATTTTATACTAATTTATTTTAATATTTGAATAGATCTACTTAGAGGCCAATTTTCTTTGATTTAAACCTACTTAGAAGAAGGTTTCGCTCTAATATAATATAATGGATATAGTCGCAATAAATTTAAGCTTGCTGAACAGAGCTCTTTTTTTATAAGATTGAAGGATTTTTTTCTATGACCTATCAATTGATTCATTATACATGAGCAGAGGTCTGCAAGTCTCAGAATTCTCTGGCCCGGCCATGTGGGAATTTAGTTTTTGTCGGCCCGGCCTGGAATTTTTTTTGCCTGATTCGGCCTTCATTTTTTTTACTAAGGTTGCCCGGGGTTAAGACCTAAACCAAAATATATCTTTAAACACCAAAATAAACAATTATTTATAATATTGGGGAGTTTTTAAATTAAAAACATTATACCTTATGGATTATCGTTTCCTTGAAATATTAGAATTCATCAAATATACCAGAAATTTTTTTTGCCCGGCCCGGCTCACCCGGAAATTTTTCTGTCCTGGCCTTTATTTTTTTCTAAAATATTTAAACTTAAATATTAGTTTTAAGGCTTCTTCCAAAGTCAAAAAATTTTTCAAAAATAAATTAATGATTATCACTAGAGATCTGCAAAGTTAGGTTCGACCCGAGTCCGGCCCGGCCTGAACGGACTTCAGGCCGGGCTCGGGCTTAATTCTATCTAAAATAATCGGGTTCGGGTCGGGCCTAATATTTTTAAAAAATTTTGGGCCGGGTCGAGTCGGACCTTGGAAATTTTATTAAACATATCTAAATTTATCAATTTTATATTGAATTTTTTATGTAAAATAAAAATTTTTTATGTAAAATAAAAATTTTTTATTCAATTTATTGAAACTAAACGCTGTATAACATATGTCTTCTATTTTAAGTAATTATAAAAATTAATTTCTATATTTAAATAAATTCGGGTCTGGCCGGGCTGGTAAATTTTTTAAAAATAAATTTCGGGTTCGGGCCGGGCCGGCAAAACTTTTTTTAAAAAAAATTCGGGCTGGGCCGGGCTTGAAAAATTAGACCCGATGCAGATCACTAATTCTCACATTTATACAACTCGATTTCGTAAATTTCAATAATAAATTAATTTTTTTAAAAATTAAATTGTTTTTTTTGGACACATAAACCGCACACCTCCTTTGGCAAGATAATCTAAAGGCGAACCCCTTTTTATAATATTACCATATTGCCAAAAGCTTATTGAAAAAATTTAATTATATCTTTAATGATTGATGAATTATTATTTGAAAAAGTTTATATATTTGTACTTTAATTAACGGATAAAATTTTAGACTCTATCTTAATTAATTTAATGTAATTTTATAAAAAATGTTTTTTAGGAATTTATATTTGATTCATATGGATGCTAATAATTTCGAAATAATTTATCGGAGGCATACTTAAACTTATCTCAATTTTAGAAAATGGCAAATTTTTTAAAAAACTTGGCAACTTTAGACTCCTATTGTATTAAGAACATATTAGTGATAGAAAGTTAAAATTTTGAGGGAGAGGGCTGATATTGGCAGAGTTTATAGATATGAGATATTCCCAGATAGTTCCAACTGTTCTCACAAATAAAGCATTGTGTTAAAGTGTATTCTAGAGCCTTATGTAAATGCAAAGTGTATTTATGTCTAAATAATGAACGCAATTGTTGTATATGCCTTTTTATTTAAAAAAAATTATATACACACATTATGCTTAAGTTGGAATTAATCTATTTTTTACGATTACTAAAAATAAATTTTTTGATATTACCTTGTGTCTATATTAAGCAAAGACCTGCAGGCCTGGCCCTAATTCCGGCCCGGTTACTCGGGTCGGGCCGTATTTTAATTTTTTTAAATATATCCAGGCCGGGTCTTGAGGATAAGTCGGTCGCGAAATGGTCAATAAAATGGAGGAAAATTATTTAGCCTGAGCTTAGCCCATTTCAATTTATTTCCAGAAATATGCCAGCCTGGAACGTAACATGCCGAAAATAGTATTAATTTATAAATCAAACCACGCCTAAAATTTTAAATTTCGGGGTAGAGCCGATTTTCAAATAAGTATTTAGATTACCAAAAATTGTGGTAAATCATATTATATAGCATTTGATATTCAGTTACTGCTCATATTATATTTTAAACCTGCAAAAATAAGTCAAAATAACGAAATTTTAAAAATTCCGGGCCAGGCCGTAGAATGAATAAAAATAAAATCCGGGCCTGGTCAAAATTTTTTTAAAAATTCCCTAACCGAGCTTGATTTAAAAAAAATGACAGGGTCTAGAATGCTGAATTCTTTAGGTCACTGATTTTATACATTTTTATTTAATTTTACATTATATTTTTCAAAAATATAGGTAACTCATGGAGATGTGATTGCAACATGGCCGCTTTCAGAGTTTGGCTCGAGAATTGGATCAAGGGTTTAACACTCCGAGACATGTACAAAATGGAGAAAATGATTAAGGAAACCAAATGCGAAAGCCCAGAAGAACTCAAAGGTATCCCTTTACATTACCCTCCAGTTAATCATCTCATATGCCTCGATAGCAATAAAAAAAATCATCCGGGTAAATACAAAAACATCAATTCCTCTCGCGTTCCCCTTTACTACTTTGAAGATTCAGGTTCTCTTAAATCTGACAATGCCAATAACAACAACGCAGCCATTGGTGACAATAATAATAATATGGGCAGCTCCTCAAAGGTCAAAAATAGCAAATTTTTAAACAACCTCGAATCCACCAGGGTCATAGCTATGATGGGATTTCTTATGTCCTTGTTGATTTGTTTTGCGTTGTTAGGCTTCACGCTAGTCTCTTATTTCATGAAGCGCTCCAGAAAATCTATATTCTCGCCCAGCAACCACCAAAACAACTCAGATAACTCCGATTTCCCCAATATGATAATGCTTTCTCCCTCTCCCGATAAAAATGCTAACGCTGCTAATAAGTTTGCGCCGAGCATAAAGAAAGGAGGGCTCAGCTTTATCCATAATAATAAATGGGTCAACAATAACAAAGGGACTAAATTTCAAAACGAGCCAGATGACGATGACAAAAAAATTATCACTAAACACGAGTACGGGATGCCTATAGATAATTTAAGTTTTGGAGGAATTAATTAAACTCAGCGCCAAATTATTATGTGAATATATATATATTTTAAAATATATAACAAAAAAAATCTATCAAAAAAAAGTCGCTCCAGTTCTTTTGTTTTTAAAACATTTTTATTTTTATATATTTTAATTATTATTATTTTTTTGGTATTTCATAGCTATATTAATAAATATTAAATATACATATATAATAATTTATTTGATCAAATCGAAAAAATATATACGGGATAAGTAAAGTCGAATAAATTTATTACTGAATAATATTAAAATCGAATACGAATAATTTATAATTCGATTCATATTCTTTTTTGAATAGTCCTACTCCTAATACATATGATAACTTTGATTAAATGGTATTATTTTAATTTTAAGTTTGGATTATATTTTTCACAATGCAATCAGCCGAATATTTCCCTTACTACTTTAGATTAATATGCGTTTTTCTATTTTAATTGAAAATGTTTTCTTCTTATATTCTAGTAAGTCAAGGTTTATGTGTTTGTTAGAAGAATGGATCATTTCTTATAATATTGATATTTCATTTTTACAGCAAATCATATAGTATAATAGCATTAAATAAATGCAGATTTAACTCATGGTTATGATCATGAATGAATATTTTATTATTATAATCAAGTCTATCTTTCACTCCTCATATCTATTTATATATATTGAAAAATAGGAAAAATAGTCTTTATATATTTTTTATAAAAATGGACGTGATCGGATCAATTTTTAAATAATATCGTATCAATACGATTTTTCTAAGATGACCAATATCGATGATCATTCCGGTCCGATACATCGGACATCCCTAGAAATAATTATATTATAAAATCAAAGAATTTTTAACATTAAGGACTAAAGGAGTTTAAATATTCCTATAGAATTACAATCTTAATTTTAATTAGTCCTTGAGATGTAATTATTTATTAAAAGTTAATTTTTTTTTAAAGAAAAGAAAACTATCACTAGAAATTTAATTTGCTAATTTTGATATATTGTCTTGATGTTGTATTAATGCAACAGTCATTTTTTAGAGACATATTAAATTTTTTTTATCTATTTTTTGATAAATATGACGGATATGGGTGGCAATAATTAGAAATTAATTCTTAATTATTATTCTGACACCTATCTATATTATCCGTCCTTTGGGCTAAGTTAACCATATCCCACTACACCATTGAAAATAAAAACAATTAGATTAAATGATAAATATTTTTAAAAATATTAATACAAAAATCAATTTCATATTGTAATTTTCCTTATCTCTTAAGACTCATTTCTCAGGGGTTAACTGGTAAACTCATTTCTCAAGGGTTGATTGCCCCCCTCCCCATTTCGGCAGCTATTTAAATTCCTAAAGAAAATTGTGAGTACTTTAAAAAAGCTTCGTGTGAATTAACTAGGGATACAACCCAGAGGAAATTCCCTGACTTTGAAATTTTCCCTATATTCCTCAATTCTTAATGTGTTTTTTTGATCAAAATGAGGATTATTATACTTTACAAAAATAATTTTTCCTCGTGGTTAATAAATCATGATGTATATTCATTTTCAATAATATATAAAAAGCTCAACTCAAGTATTGTTCATCGGAAGAAAATTTTTTAATTTGCTGAAATATATTAAAATTACCTTTTTTTTAGCTAAAAATACCTACTTTTTTTAGCTAACGTAATCTAAAATTATCTTTTTTTAGCTATATCCAAAATTACTTTTTTAGCTAACATTATCAAAAATACATTTGGTATAAAAATTCGAAATTTTGAGGGGGGCTCTTCAATTTTTTTACCGAGTCCCCCCATAGTGACGCTATTGGGAGTAGGATTAAAGGTTAAGAAGTATGGGGTGGCCCTCCAACTTCTATTCTAATTCAACCAATAATTATATAAATTTCTGGAAAAATTTGATAGTGAATCATCAGAAGAGCAAAGTAAATTAGATGCCGACTTCGCAACAACCATTTCTGTTAAATTATTCATTTTCCATAACTTAACAGAAATTATTTCAATCTTTAAAACCAGCATTTTGAGGAATGTTATATTACGATAGGGAGATGCTATCGCCAATGACATGTCTTCCTATAAAAAATATGGCAGGAGAAGTCGTACCTCCTGCAAAAACTTACAAGCAACAACCCCGTCGTGGAGCCAAAGGTACACCTTGAGGGGCATATACCATACCGGTGGGGCCAACTTAAAGGACAAGAAAAAGGTTTAGAAACTTTTTAACCCGTTACAGTTCATCTGGGTCTCTAGCAGATTACATTCTAGACGTGAAAGTCCTGTTCCCATGGGCTATAAAATAAATGTGTCAGGATACTGAGGCCCTTTATTTTTTTAGCCTATTTTGCATTACCAATGACACCAATTACCTTTTTTGTAAGACTAATAAACTGAGGCTTCTCTATAAATACTAATAAACAAATAACTATTCTGCCTTAAATGTAACAACACGGATAAAACGAATTATTTGATATTTGATTCGTATTTTACTAATACGAATAAGTCGTCGAACAATTTTTGATCCATTCATGGACAAGAAATCTTTCAAGATGAAATCACAAATTTAAAAAAATAAAAATTCAAAGATTGATTCAAAAAAATTACGATTTTTTCATATTTGAAAATATTTTTAAAGAAATTAATTCGCGAATGGAATATTCGACTTATCAAATCAAATAATGTTTTTATTACTCATACGAATCGAATATAAATAATGCCAAAATTCGATTCGTATTTTTGTATACTCGGAATACAGCTAAATTTTAGATCGAAAACGATACCAACTGATGACTGAAATAGATTAGCAACATGTATAGAGATTTTAGAACTAGGCCCGCATTTGGGAGCTATCTTAGTCTCAATTTTATTTAAATTTTTTTTATTAAACTTACTTAAGATCAATGTAACTACAATTTTTGATAAAATAACTTCAACTTTATTATAAAATTTAATAATCCAATTAATGAATAAACTTTTCATCATCGGGAAAAAAAATATATTTTTAAATATCATAATTATATTATTTATTAATATTATTTATCTGACCGGTTGCCTTCTAATTATCTATTAAAAATTATTCAAGGCTACGACAGGAGCAGTATTGAGAATATATACATCCCAGTAATTACCACGTTAACTAATTATACACACCATAATAGGCATGGCGCAAACCTTTATGCCGTATTTCCCAACAATGCAAAGGCGATCTTTTATGATATAGAAAAAGCTATAGAGGAAGCGAGTATTATACCAAGACAACTGGAAACAATCACTAATGTTCATTAAAAGCAAGGGATTAGAATATGCAGACTTGATCTTTATCTAGAGGATCATCAACCAGATTCGTTCACTAAGAAGTCACATATTTGATACTTAGAATTAGTTATCTTACTTACTACTATTAGCCAAAATGTATGTTGGATCCCGACGAGAATCCATCGGATCCGCCATCAAGAGAATGGATAACGAACGAAAAGGGGCAACAGTGTTCCATTAAACATTTTTGCAATGATCAATTTACCACTTATTACGACATTTTTTTAAAACATTATAATAATATTATTTATTTTTAAAATAGATAAATATAAATGTAACAACAAATTTACAGAACGGATCACCCCTGACCACAGTGATATCTTCGCATAAATAGAAACGTATTCTTCGGTAAAAACATTTGTTGTTACGGATTTATTGTGTAAGTATTTATAGTCGTTTTCCGATAAATTTAATTATTATTATATTTCTAAATTACAAAAATATTTTCATTATAGCATCTTTTAAGTTTTCTTAGACTTTAAATTGATTTCTTTTATTATTTTAATAAACATGCCGAATGATAATAATACATATTTTTCTTAGGTTTATATATTATGGATAAATGATTGGCATTTTCCTCTTTTTATAAACAATTTAATAATCATAAGTCTGCTACCGACCCTTAACAGACCAAGCGCAGGTTCCCAACAATTAAAATCTGGTTTCACAGAAACCCAGGTATAAATATGCGTTAATATACAAAATGCAGTCCAAAAATGACCTAAAACATATACGTTACTCTATAAATATTAATCTGCTACTAACCCTTAACAGACCAAACGCAGGTGCCCATCAATTAAAATGTGGTTTCAGAGATACCCAGGTATATATATAAAATGCAGTCCAAAAGCAACCTAAAATATATACGTTACTCTATAATTATTGTCCAAAAGGGACACAGAAATTTTGCTCCTAAGAAACCTATATAAATATTGGACATAATTTTTTCGGGCAATGATTAAGATCTACTCCCTCACGAAATGGATATTGAAACAGGTATCGCTAGAGTCTTAATTGGGGACATCTTTTCGTTTATAAGAAGTTATCAATTTTTCGGAATAATTTGGATGAGAATTACACCGAAAACATTCTCAGACCCAATCATCTGGTTTCCTCGATTTCTCGGTCCTCACCGACATACTTTTCTCTTTTGTCAAAACAAGGACTTTTCATGAAACTATCGGGATTATAGTAATGTAGATAAATAATCTCCGATGACGATTAAGGGTATGTTATTACTGAACATAAAAAGGCATGGGTAATGGTAAAATCTTTAATTCCTTTTTAAAAAATTTAATAAATGACATACATACTTTTTTTATACAGAATTGCCTGCCTATTTTTGAAAATAAATTAATATGACTGGTATTAATTAAAAATTTATTACTGTGTAACTTTCTAATACCAAGAATATTCGGATATTTATATATTTTATTTTTAACCATATATTAGTGGGTTTTCCACTCTTTTAATGCTAATTGTAAATAAATTTGTTTTTATTATTAGATTAAATATCTGGGCAGGTATAAAAAAAGATTCACAGATTTAAGCTTCAATACTTTTATAAAATAAAATTTTTATCATAACCAAGGGGGATCGGATAAATCATTCCTGGCAAATTTAAGTTTTAGTAGATATCAAGTTAATAAAAAATATCTCCTATAAGGCCTAACCCCCCCCCCCCCCTAAATATTAAACAGCATGTTATTATAAATTTTTAAAATTATTTAAATAAGAGGAAATGGGCTAACTTACTTTTGGAATTTCGATAAATATTATAAATTCTCAAAAATAAAAAATCCAAGTTGAACCTTGCTTAAAATAATATATTTTTAAATCTTGGCCGGGCCTAATATTTTTACCTCTAATAGATGAACTCATACGATAAACACCAGGGGTTGAAATATCTACCCAATATTCGGAAAAATATAGCGTATCCTTAATTTTATTCCTCAAAAAATATTTTCCTTATATATAAAGTAAAGACCAGCACTCTCGGTTTTAAGCCTGACACGGGACTAAAAAATTTATTTTTAAATGCCCGGGCCGCACTATAAATTTTTTTAAAAAAAATTCGGATCGTGCAGTGCAAATGGTACATCTGCAGGTCTCTGATATTAATTAATTAATCTTTTATACTTTTATGGAATCGATCGAAACATTATTGAAGCCCAAACTCATGATAATGATATTTCAAATAATTTTTTTTTTACCTATTTTGAAACAAAATATTATTTAATTCCGTGAAATTATTTTCCAGGAATAATAGATAACCCATTAATTATATCTTCTATCTATGTAGAATCAAATTGTTTTTTTTAGATATTTCCAAAAAAATTCGCAGCTTTTTGAGTATGCTCTATTGTGAATCTGTAATTCGATCATATATATAACTTGTTAAATCTTGCGTGAATTTACTAGCTAGACTGCTCTAAATATCAAAGAAATAAGCATATTTTAATTTATTTTCAAATAGTATCAGTCAAAATATTAGGCTGAAATTCAATAAAATATATAAATTTTAATGCCCAGTCTGACCTATTAAAATTTTACGAAAAATCAGAGATTTACGAGGCCCTTCTGTATTTTATGTTTAAATTTCCCCACCCGGCCCGAATGTTTTTTATTCGCAATTGCCTGACCAGTTAAATTTTTTGCCCAGACCAGCTCGTTATAAATTTTTTTTAGAAATAATTCTGACATGTTTTAAATTTTAATATCAAGGTCGGGCTTTGCTGAACTCGAATGTCATTAGCCTAGTGATATTTAGTAATGATTTATAATATGGTTAGCCGAGCGATATTTAGAACTGATTCATATTATGGGGTTGGCCGAACTATATACCCCTAACCGAGAAATTTTGGCAGCCGTGAGAAATTGGGCCACCCTCTTTTTTTGATGCTAATTTTAGATAGATTTATTTTTGTTAAACTCATTTTAGATATAATTACCTTTTTTTTGATAATGCTTGAAATTTGAAAAATATGTGCAACCTTAAGTTGAAAAAGTTAGCGATGCGCCACTGCTTGTTTGCTGTTATACAGCTAAACAATTATATTGATAAATAAAAAATTAATGGGAAAAGAATGGTAAGCATAGGATGGAAAATCCTATGAAGTTCGGAAATAGGGATTTCAGTATCTGCTGTATTTGTCGATGGAGACGCCCTAATATTAAATTAAATTAATATAATTATTTTATTTAAAAAAAAATATATATATATAATTTTCATAATATCTTCGATATATTTTAAAATTCTAAACAGTTAATTACCTTTCATACAATTAAAATTAGGTATTTTACAGCAGAAGATTAATAGTAAATTCATTGGCGCATCGGAAGCCTCCATTGACATTTATGGAAGCTTCCAGGTTTATATTCTTATTAAAAAATAAAACATCACCCAGTATCTACCAAATTTACAAAAATTATATGAGTTAACACTTCTACATGCGCCTTATCAAGATAACGAGACAGAAAGTTAGGGCTAGTAGAGACATTCGGCCCAGCCCTTATTATTTTAGCCAGACCCATAAAAAATATATTATCCGGCATTTGATAATTTTTTTATCAAACAAAAATTAGCTTAATTATCAGTTTTAAAACATTTTAAAAACTTCTACCCATCCATAATGTCATCTTTTCGCTCGGTCCGTGGGCCTGACTGGGTTGCGCCAACCTTTAATTGCTAGTGTATTTATAAAATATAACAAATATTATTTCATCAACTTTAAATCACTAAATATAATTTAGATTAAATTAATGTTAAAGTTGATATATCGTTCACTTGCCTCCTCTAAAAACAACGAAACTCCGGTAGCCCAACTCATGTTTAATTTTTAAAAAAGGGATCTTAAGGTAACCCAAAATCAACATGCGCCTCTAGGCAGTTGGTTATCCGCACGCAACTTATGGTTAAGTCGAATTAGGTTATTTTGCAACAACAATGATCAACGTGCAAGTCGTATACTCTTTATAATTACACCAGACTTTACATTTGCCTTTGAATCAATTTTTAAATTAGTAAGCATATCTAAGATGCACATATGTTATCTTAAAAGAATGAATACAGCCAAAATTTACTTTATTTTTTAATAACATATATATCATACAAAGTCTAAGGTCATAACGCGTATCTTTTGTCTCAACTGTCTTCGAGACTTAGAAGATATTATGAAAACAAACAACATATTTTTTAATTCGGGGAAGAGGGCGGAAAAATATTTTTTTAATTTTTTAAATACCGTAAGGAGACAATAAGTTTACTTCTCCAAATAAATATATAAAAATCACAAAATTATGAGAATATATCATCAATTATTTTTATTGTATTTACTTTTTATAACATTAAGAATCAATATATTAAAAATAAAAAAATAAAAAATAATATAGTAAAATCATTTAGGTAGATAATTGAAATCTATAAACAATTGCTACTATTATACATCCTCATCCTCTAGTTCAACTTCAACCTCTTCTACTTCCTCTATTTCAGGGCTTAATTTATTTGGAACTGGAGATGCACCTGCCTTTTTACTTTTTCTCGTTGTTATTGCAGCCTCCTCAGTTTCAACTTCTGGAATGGCAATAATTAATTCAAGGGTCATGAGCGATGCAAATATTGTCATCATCATTTTAGGTTTCAGCTTTCGATACACACATAAATAACATAACAAATGATTATATAAATTTATTCTATCTCTTTTTCATAAACTTTTAAAATAAAAAAAAATATCACAATTTTGACAATGGAAAAATATTTTTAGGTAATTTATTTTAAGGTTCACTAAATAGAACTTATCTTAAGAAAATCGGGGAAATGTATAAAGATTATCAGGCAGGAAAGTTTTAATTATACGAAAAAAGGGTGTAAAATATTTAGCCTATTAATTATTAATGTAAATAAATTTAAAAAACATTGTCATTATAATTCATTTTAACTTAACCAAATCTTAATTTATTTTATACTTCCATAACGTCCTCAGGCAATGCAATGATTACTGCACCCAATTTTCGCGACAACGAAATAGCATAACCTATATTAGATAGACGATCTTCTTCCGTGAGTTCAGGGTCCGGAATACCAGTGTCAGTGTAACCTTTGACCAATCTAAACATTGTAACAATCTTATTTTTACTTCTTAATTAAATAAGCTTTGCGTTTGATTAATTAATTGTATATTTATACTAATATTTACCTATGCAATACACTTTTATTAGAGGGAAAAAAATAAGATTGTCTTACCCCCAACAAACTCTTCCCGGTTTGATGCAATCGAGCAATTCTAATATAGCGATTCCGTCAGCCAAATTATGGTCTTGAAAACTTTTGAAGAGTCTTTTCTTATTGAGGGTTGTCATTTTTGTGATGGCCCATTGTAAGATGTCCTTATCCTGAATCTTCCCACCTGGCTTTAACTTGAGCAATATACTCATTGTTTGCTTATGTAGTAGTTGGTAGAGCAAGGATAAAACTGCGTTTTGTTTCATATCATAAATATCGGTTCCCCCTATTCCAACCTAAAATTTGTAAAGAAACAAATAAGAAAGAATCTCCTCTATATAACAATATAGAAATATTTTATGTTGTCGTATCTAAAATTTTCACGTTCTCTAAACTTTGATATTATTTATTACCAGTGAAACGCCAAAGTTTTTAGCGACTTCGACAACTTGTACACAATTGTCCTTCTTTTCTATAGTGGCTGTAGCTTTTTTGAATGTTTTTCGCACTTTAGCCCAATTTACACTTTTAGGTTGCATCTTATCCAGCAATTGACACAAAACTAATCCATCCTGCAAGTCGGGATACAAATATTTGACTCTCGGTTGAACTCCCAGCGAATTCATCCAGTTCCTTAAAGTTTTTTCTTCCCTTGTCTCTTCCATCTTTTCCTCGGGGGGTTCTAAAATATCTATCGGCAACGACGGATGATTGTTAAATAAATTAGCTATAAATGCCAAACAGAGCTTGTAGTTCCCTGTACTAACATCTCGGGATGTTATGAAATCTCGACAACCCAATTTGTTGGCTTGATCCAGCATTATATCAGCTCTTTTAGTTAGATTTGGTTCATTCATAGCATCCATTGATATGGCCAGATCTCGTGGAGCTATCTGTTTGATAAGCGTAGAAAATATTTCGCAATCTTGAAGGTCTTTAGTAAAATTTTTCATTCTTCTCGTGCATTTTGCTTCTGCCAACTGGAAATTAACCCATCTCATCAGAATTTTCTCCGGAGCCATCTTCATGAAATCGGACAGTTCTTCCATATGCTTCAATAATATCTAATAGACCGTTTTATTTATTAAGAGATTAAATAACCCTGAATCCATAAAATATTTTCTATTTTAAAGAGATAGAGGGTGTGAGTTGTCGTATAATAATAATAAATAAATCATTTATAATGCAATAATACCTATTTAATATAATAATACCTGTAAACCTGGGTGAGATTTAAGGTCCAACCTAGCGAAAAGCCCTAATATAATGAGTTGCCTTAAAAAGCTTAAAATTAGATGAGGCCTTTCTTTCAGAATATCTTCTGCATGAATATTGGTAGTATTCACTCCAATAGCCCGAGCGGAGTTGACGGCCAAGTTTAAATTTTCGTGCTTCTTGAAAATACTAAGATCTTTATCATTTTCTCGCATATTCAAAGTCCTTTCGTCAATAGTGTTTGCTTGAACAGTGTTCACGAGTTTGCAAAGCAATATCCCATCTTGGAGTTTGGGAAAAAACTTTCCAGTTTCTAAGGGCATCATAAATTTCAAGTCAGGATCGGACTTCAATAGTTTATTTATCCAGTTTACGTATGCAGATTCTTCTTCATCGGAAACGGAATGTTTGAGACGTTTCTAAGTTATTTTATACCATGGTTGTATAATATTTTATTTAAATATAATATATTTATTATAAGGCTCGTATTTATGTAAATAATATTAATTATTTTACGTCCATGTTCCGAATATTTCTTCTGAAAAAATAGGGCTATACGCTTTTATTTTCTAAAACATAAAAAATTAAATATTAAATAAGCACATACATAATATATAGACTTGAGAATTTTTAAAAACTTAATTCGCGATAAATGATTTTGTTTCGCAAAAAGTGTGATGCATAATATGCGAGATGATAAATAATGTTACGCTTAAAAAAACATTATAAATAAATGATCTTAAAAGATGATCAGTGTAATTTTGGTTTAACATGTTAAATTTAAAAAATCGAACTTTAACAATTGTAATTTAATTCTAATTATTGGACGAAATGATATAATTTGAAATAACAAAATCTGCTCCATTCTATGGGCCTATTTTTATGTGGTTAAGCTAATAGTGAATAAATTCGCAAATTTTAACCCAAATCATTTTTGTTACCTACAATCATTACCATAGTTTGTCCCATAAACTATTAGTCATTTACTACCTTTCTTACTAGCATTGAGAGTTCAATATTCACATTTCCATTAGTTGAGCATGATTTCCAATATTTTTCGACCTTCAATCGATTATTCATTTATTTTTAACTATCTACCAATTATTTGACCTATTGATGATTTTATTAATTCGTATCTCCAAGTTCAGTTATTGAAAATAATTCTCCAAATATATTTTTTACCTTCAATCAATTTCCCGTCTTGTAGTCATTTATCACTCATTTTGTCACCCTCTTCATATTAATATTTCTATATTCAATTAACAATTCTCTAATTATATCTAATTTTCAATAATTAGAGATAATTTATTTATTTTTTCAAGTATTAAGTTTTTAGACATTTATATTATTATGTATAGTTATATACCGACTGGTATTAAAAATATTGATATTTACTATAAATAAGACATTGTTTTGAAAGAAAAAGGTAAAGAAAAAGGTAAAGAAAAATCAGTCAAGAGCGATGTTCTTGGTGCATAGACACAGTTACAAAAAAATTACTACAGTATATTAAATATTAGTGATAATGCAATTATTGGCTGGCCTATTAAGTATGGTATATTTGGTCCACCAAATAGGTTAACATATTGCAGCAAAATTGCGACCAAGAATTTGGTATTATAGATTGTTATTAGTGTTGTTAAACGGCTCGATTTGAGCCGATTTTTAGAAACGACTAATTCAATATTTTATTCAGAATAATATTGCGCATGCCTGAAGATTTTGCTCATAGATGGCACAAAGGTCTAGACATCAATTAGCGAAATCTCGAGGCTTAGGCAATATTTTTCTACTAAATTATTGAGTTAGCCGTTTTTAAAAATTGGCTCAAAACGAGCCGTTTAACAACACTATGTTATTACCCAAAATTGATAAATTGTAAACCATATAAGAAACGAATATGTTATTTAGATAAATATATGTAGCTCAGTTAATTTAATTTAACCAGTTGAAGGAATTTATGCAGGGTCATGCGTGTAAGCAGGAATTAGCTATGGGGGGGGGGGGGGTTAACTATAAAAATTGACAATTTCTAATACACAAATTCGAATATAAATGAATAATAAAAAATTAAATGTATATAACCGGCGTATAAATCACCATAAAATATATGTCGAAAAAACTGTAAAATAATGTAAACTTTTTAAGCATTTAAAATTTGATATATAAATTAGTTTTTGGATTAACATGATCATGAAGAAGATATTTCAAAAAAATAAATGTTGGGAATATAGATTAATGCACAAAAATATTCTTAAGAATTATTGCATATATATAAACTTACAAAGTATTCATGAATTAAATGTTTTATATTAAAAATTGGGAAAAATATAGTAAAGAAGCATAAATGTAAAGTTAAATCTTCTTATGGCTTGAGATAACTTTTCAATGATTTCATCAATGTTTGTTTCAACAGATAGAGAGATTTTTAAAAACGGTCCATTTAAGATTTTGGCCAAAATAACATTATGTAAGCCTGGAGATTTTGCTCATAGATGACAAAAAGGTTTGGACGTCTGAAAAATTTCGAGGATGTGATAATATTCTTTTGGTTAAATCTTAATCGGGTCGTTTTAAAAATCACGATTTAGGTTTTGTCAACTCCCTATTTATATTAAGAAAGGATAACACCCACTCAATCTTTTTCAGGGGAAATATTTCACAGTAGTGTTGGTAAACGGCAAATGGTTTAACCAGAAAAATATTATGAAAAACTAAATTTTGCTCATATAATATACAAAGGTTTCTACTTTATTAGCGAAATTTCAAGGCTTAGGGGAATATTTGTGGCGAAAATATTGAGTTAGTCGTTTTTAAAAATCGGCTCAAATCGGAAAATTTAAACACCTATTCTTATGTTTCTTATTAAAGAAGAAAATGTTCCTTCATTGGTAAAAGTACTAATGAGTAGAGTTGCCAAAATATATATTAATGTTTGAAATATGCCAAGCATTTAGAGCATTTTTCAAATTATCAACCATATTTAACTTTTCATACCAGTTTCCATGCAGCTATTAATGTTGGGAAACTCTAACATCTCACAATAAAAATTGAACTAGAGACTTCCAAAAAGATTTATGGAGGGAAAACCCACCTAGTAATGCCTAAAGCCAAAATAATTTTTTTTAAATTTTAATATAACCAAAGACCTACAATAAGAGGACAATTATAAAATATTTTCTATCAAATTTAAATTGAAAGGATTTGTGGTAATAATATTTGCAGATCTGTAGCTGCTTGATTAATCAAGAACCTTTCATTCATTTTAATTATTAAAGTATCCAAAGGGGAGATAAAGAGTTTTATTTTGTAATATTATTTGACTTATAATATAGAACTAAAAGCTTGTTATAGTTCCTTTCTGTTGTAATGTACACTTTTTTAATGTATATTTTATTTGATAAAGTGATTTATTTTAACAGATGTATTAATTTTTATGTAAATGATGATATTTATTGCATTAACGAAATTGTAAAGATCACTTTTTCATTTTATATAAACTTTGGATAATTTAATTTTATAATAATAAAAAAAATGTAAAGAGAAAGTTAACAAAATTTTAACTCAGAGTATCGCTATCAGAGGCGATACTCTTATTCCAATAAAATATATACGTTAAATTAAATAAAATTTCAATAATTATTAGATTCTTTTATTCAATTTATAAAAGATGAATATTCTTTTTAAATTACAAATATGAAAATGGTGCCATGTAAAACAAATGTTCCATAAGGGTTATTGCAGTCACAATTCGCAATTTTATAACCTACTATATTATCACTACGGCGAAATGATCACTCTTTCAGGTGCAGTATATTCTCATTTATATTCAACTTTGAGAGAAGGCCACTATAGGCAAATTATTCCAAAATTGGAAATTAATATATTATAAAGGTAAAATAAAAAAAATGAATATTCCAAAATTGGAAATTAATATATTATAAAGGTAAAATAAAAAAATGAGTATTCCAAAATTGAAAATTAATATATTATAAGGGTAAAATAAAAGGGATGAATATTCCAAAATTGTAAATTAATATATTATAAAGGTAAAATAAAAATAAAAATATTCAAAATTGGGAATTAATATATAAAGGTAAAATAAAAAAAGGGATGAATATTCCAAAATTGGGAATTAATATATTATAAAGGTAAAATAAAAAAAGGATAAATATTCCAAAATTGGGAATTAATATTATTAAGATAAAATAAAATAATAAATATTAAAAAAAGAGACTTTCATAAAGGATCTTATTCGATATTTGTTTTGTTGGGAGGAGGTTTTCAAGTGAATATTATTATTAAAGTAATAGCTGAATAAAATATATGCATCAAATTATTCGAAATCTTTACATAACCTACTATATTATCTATGACATTATTCATTGGTATTCTTTCAAAGAAATGAAATTCCTATAAAAACAATTTTTTAGTAAAGATATTGTATACGTTATGTTTACTTCGCTAAAAAAAATTTAATTTAAATCCTTATATAAAATTATTCAAGAATATAAGGAAATTATTCCGGGGTATTCAAATAATGTTTCCGAAATCATATTCGAAATTATATTAAAGGATTTACCGATAATAATGGGGAGATGTGTATGAAAATTTTGAAGAAATTGTAGCCGAAGAAATTATATAATATTTTTATTCTTATTCGTGAGACGACTAAAACGGCGTTCTCCTTTGAAAAAAAAAGAAAAACCGCATTTCTTTATTCTTATTCGTGAGACGAATCAAACGGCGTCATCCTATGGACATAAAGCCGCATTTCTTAATTCTTATTTAAAGTCGATCAAGATAATTTATTTTAGGCGAAAATTTTATAGACACCAAAATAAGCGGAATGTTTAAATATATAGTTTGGAGCAAATGAAAAACGTCAGATGTGTATTTATATTTCGTATATTATTGGTCATATATTATCAATCACCCCTAACACTTGGGTTTAGTAATGGGTGGCGTGTTGTAATGTACACTTTTTTAATGTATATTTTATTTGATAAAGTGATTTATTTTAACAGATGTATTAATTTTTATGTAAATGATGATATTTATTGCATTAACGAAATTGTAAAGATCACTTTTTCATTTTATATAAACTTTGGATAATTTAATTTTATAATAATAAAAAAAATGTAAAGAGAAAGTTAACAAAATTTTAACTCAGAGTATCGCTATCAGAGGCGATACTCTTATTCCAATAAAATATATACGTTAAATTAAATAAAATTTCAATAATTATTAGATTCTTTTATTCAATTTATAAAAGATGAATATTCTTTTTAAATTACAAATATGAAACTTTCTAAAAAATTAACCAATAGGCACTTATTTCAGCTTTAATTTACTCTAGGACCCTTTTTAGGGCTATAACACCTAAAACTCCTTTACAGATTTATAAACAAAGAATCTTTTTAAGGCAATAACCCTTTTAAACTGTAAAATATAATGAAAAAAAATATTTCTTTAACTATAAACGAAACTAAACAAACGATCAACATGGGTGGATGTCTATACACAAATCAAATTATAATAAATTTGCAGAAAAAGAAAGAGATACATGAACTGCTAAACCCGCCTACAATTCTCAAGGCATATTAATTCATGCAAAACAAGTTATCACACTCAACATTGTGCAAATCAAAGTATTGCTCCTTACGAAATCAAGTAAAAATTCAAATATCATGCCCCCCCCCCCCGCTAATCTTTAATTCTATAAATTATAGACATTAAATTTGCTAAATCCATTTTTAATACATTATTTTAAATCGACGCGAAATCAACATATAATTTTACAAATAAAATATAACGTCAGTTATAATATTACATATTGCGATACCTCATCAAAAAAATATTCCTAAGATATTTTAAATATATTGGTCACAAGATTTGTCTTGCCCTTTTGTGATATGCATCATAAATTTTACGAAAAAACCCATAAGCTATTTCCAAGCAGAGCGTTCTTTCAAAGCGGTTTCCTTGTCATTTTTCCAGCAATTTTTTTTAATTTCAAAATAGAGGATAATAATTTGTCAAATAAATTGATTTATATAATGTAATGTCTTGGAAAATTTTAAACGGCAAATTTTTATTAAGATCTAGATCTGGCCTGTTGCGGCTCGCCATTCAAATTTTTTAAAAAATATATGGGGAGGTTCGTTAGGCAATAAATTTAAATATTCAGCCATAAATGATAATTTAATGATGGTTATATATTATTTTCTATTTATTAATTATGAAAATGAATAATAAATAAATATTCTAGTTTTTTTATAAAAAAAGTTTTTTTATATTTCAAATTCATCTTATAATTGTATTTTATCAGGTGGAAAAGGAAGAACAGAATACATGGCAAACATTAGATGTTACCATCAGCCTACGGAGGCCAAACTATCCGAACTCTAGTGATATTTTGTAGTTTTTTTAAAATAAATATTACACGAAAAAGAAATGATAACAGGAAACCCCAACTAGATGTAATAGACAATAAGCAATTGAATATGGAAAAGTCATGATATTGGAAGAGATCAAGGTAAAATTTGGGTAATAGTCCTCAGTGAAGAAAAAATATAAATTATATTTGAGTTATAAATATTATGTTGTATGAAAATATCGAGTTATAGTTAAATATGCTATGAAAATGTTGGGTTATAATTAAATATGATGTTATATGTAAATGTCGAGTTATAATTAGATACTATGTTGTATGAAAGTTTTGTTTTGAGAAAATTTGTGAGTCAGTAAGCTTAATAAAGGAAAGGGGTCGTGATTGTCGTTTTGTGATATATATAATGTTAATGTCAATTAACATTATTAATCTAATATTCACGTAGGAATTCAATTATTCACCCATTCATATTATCGTGGATTCTTTTGCATATTATATATATTTCGAATGAACTAATTCTAGCAATTATTATTATTACTTTCATTGTTATGCTTTTCATAAGATTATTACAATAAAGTTATTTAACTTAATTGTGATTAGAAACAAGTTAAATCAAGACTTGCTTTATACAAAAACAATGTCACTATTTTTGGATAATTTAGTAAAATAAATATATTAAAATTATTTTATATCACGGAAAGACTATTGTTATTGTAATACTCAGATAGTTAGAAAAAAATGGTAGGAAAATGACTAAAATAAAAGGAAACGGCATACATTTATGATAGTGTTTATGTCAATTATTTAAAGAATTATGATGGCAGTTATTTTGAAGTATATATTAGAATCGATATATTTAATTATGCTATATATATTTTAGGGTAATGATTATCAGTATATGAATGGTGATATGTGAAAATTTTAGGAATTAAAGGTTGTAATAAAGAGTGATATCATAAATCTGATATTGAATATTTGTTATTAAGCAGAAGATCATTTTTATTATCTCATACATTATTTTTAAAAAACAGATTTTAATTTTTATAAATAATATATATAAGGATACATCAGTTGATCCTAAAATAATTTATATAGATCGTAAGAGCATAAAAAAGGATATCTAAAGAATTAAGTAATTAATATTATTTTATTACTAAAACTTTTCAATTATATTTTATTTTTAAAATATCTAGGATTAGTGATCTGCATCGGGCCTAATTTTTTAAGCCCGGCCCGAAATTTTTTTTTTAAATTTTGCCCGGCCCGACCCGAACCTGATTTTTTTTAAAAAAATTTTGCCGGCCCGACCCGAATTTATTTAAATATAAAAATTAATTTTTATAATTACTCAAAATAAACGATATATGTTATATGGCGTCTACTTTCTATAAATAAAACCACATATTTTTATTTTACATAAAAAATTCAACATAAAATTAATAAATTTAGATATATTTTAAAAAATTTCTAAGGCCCGACCCGACCCAAATTTTCTTAAAAATATTAGGCCCGGTCCGAAGCCCGTTCGAGCCGGGTACGGGCCGGGCCTACTTTTGCTCTCTATCAAGGATATTGAAAGTTAATAGGTGTTTATACAATAAAAATTTAGATCAATATAAAAATATTTTATACAAGAATAATCTTTGGGTGAGTATAGCTGGAGATTATCGATATTTAATTTTATTTATAAATGTATAATATTTTATAATAAATAAAAATTTTAATAATTTAATTTTTTTTATATTGTTGAAGGGAATATTTGATAACTTTTGGGATACATCTAGTCTAACATTTAAGAAGCAAAAATATTTAGAAAAAATATATTTAAATAAAACAAATTTTTAATATAGATAAAAAAAACATTTTTTAATATTACTAGATTATTTAAGACTCAGCCTCTCTTTTAAATATAGTTAAAAAATATATATGTATAGATGTTAAATTAAGGTAAATACAAGAATAATATTTATATTTTTAATTAATAATTCAATATATATATATATACTATAATAATAACGAATATTTTATATACAATAAATAATGACTCAGATATAATATGCTGTGGTAGAGGATTATTTTCAAAATGTAAAGAGAATGTATCCCTAATATATTTTGCCTCTATCTTTGCTTTTTAAATATATGTATATTATTATGGGTAATAAAATCATTAGATTTTATAAAATATAATTATATTATGAGAAGGAACATGTTTTTATTATTGTTATGTTGGATTTATTGATATCTATACTACGATCTAGAATGCACCACTTAGATGTCAATATACCAAATGTACATTCAACCAATCGGCGTGCTCTTGACAATCTATAATTAAAAATGGTTTCATTTATGGTATTTGAAGTTTTATATTAGTTAAAAAATAGAAAAGTTTATAAAAATATTTTGGGTTTTCTCTTTTTTTATAAAATTTCCTTTCAAATTCTTCTTTATAGTAATGAATACATTTGGGGAAGTGGGGTAGGGGTGGGAGATATTTATTAGCTTAAAATGCTCAGCAAATTTCTGAAACCCCCCCCCCCCCACTTCCCCAACTACTCCCATGTTCCGACCGCTATAAGTGGAATAGATTATATAATAACAAATTGTTTGATAGGGAAATCTCATCAGTTGCTAAATCTTTGATTGGGAATATTTGAAATTTTTAATTAGGTAGCTCTCTTTATATTTTCATGCTAAAAATTTATGAAACAGATCTAAAGTAATTCCTAATTCAAAGCTAGCAAAAAAAATTTGGGTACAAGGAGCATATACACCTATGTAGGGATTGGAACCAATATTAAAAACCAAAGATAAACGAAATATTGAATTGGTATTGATTTAAATTCAAATTACTAATTAAAAGAATAGAAATAGTGATTTAAAAAACCCGTAATTTCTAATTAAATAAACATGAAAAAAAATCATGAAGCTTTACCATAAAAAGAGGGCTAAGAACCAACTCTCAAAATTTTATTGAATCCAAATTCTTTTTTTAAACTAGGAATTTATTAGGTGATGTGAATATAAAAAATTTTGAATTAATCATAAATTTTTTGTATCAACAAACCTAACCAAACCAATCAAATAATAAACGTATTATTGATTTTGATTTATTTAGCACAAAAAATATAGCAAAATGAGTACACTAAAATATAACATAACTGTCTATGTACAAAAGATTGAAATTTAATAAGGGAAAATAATTTTATGTCTTTAAGAAGGATCCTGCATGCGCATCCGACATTTTAGCAGGCACGCTTGGGTAGTATGTTCATCTAGTGAACAACGTTGGTCCGTTAAACATACCGTCCTTCTGAAAACGACTTTTCAGAGATAGCTGGAATTGCAAAATAATCTCTGGCAATTTTCGATATATTGTATATCTATTTTGATTTAATTTCCACCAGTCTATTGGATTTGTATCATTAGAAATTGTGACTTCATCCACATATTTGCTTATATCTAAGCTATTATTGTTATGACTATGTTTAACTTGATATATTTTATCATAAAAGGACAATTTTTTGGATTTATTTTCTGTTTCATTTATGTGTTAAGCTGGAAATTATTAACTTTATAAATATTATATTCTTCGGTTAGGTATCCAATGAGTGTCTATACTATTATCCTATAATAGGTGACTTGATATTTTAAACCATGGGTCAATCATTGTTGATAAAATATACAATTATAGTATTTATTAGGGCTGTGCCGATATTAAATATCGGATCGGTCCCGATATGGCGTTTTTCAAAAATATCGGATCGGCCCGATACCTGTAAAAAACCCGATCCGATCCTTTTACTAAAAATGCAATTCTTATAAAACTTTTGAGTAATGAAACTTTGAATTATTATTTTTTAATAAAAAAAATTTTTTTTAAATATTTAAAAAAAAAAAATTTTTTCGAGTTTCTATTTTACATTAATAATATTTTATAAATAATTTTTTTTTAAACAATGCAAATGTTATTTATTTTTTAAATAGATTTTACAAGTTTTTTTATAAAAATAGAAAGGAACACCCAAAGTTTTATTTATTTTTAATTTTTAAAAAAATAACACCAATTTTATTATTTATACTTTAAATAAAAATTATTTTAAATATGGTTTCTGAATTATGGAAATATATTGATAAAGATGAAGGTAATTTTGCAAAATGCGTCATCTGCGGAATTCTAATTTCACGGGGAGGAATACTGAAAATTCGTTCAATACAACTAACATTAGGAAAATCTGAAGCGTTGCCCTCAAAAGGAATTCGAAGAGCTAACACAAAAAAAAACGAGAAATATTAGAAAAAACAAATCAAATTTTTAAAAAAAAGAGCCCTGAAAGTCAGCCAACAATATCAGCCATTCTTAATAAAACTAATATTTGGAAACATTCTGATCCTAAATCAATAATAATTTCTAAATTTATAGGGGAAATGATAGCGTGTGACCACCAGCCGATTTCTATCTTGGAGGATATAGGCTTTAAAAGGCTTTTACATCATTTATGTCCAAATTACAAAATTCCCAATAGAAAGTATTTTTCGCAAGGAGTTATTCCGGATATATATGAAAAACTCTCCGAAAAAATTCGTAAAGAAATTTTGGTTGACGATTCTTTTTTATCCTTTACGGTAGATATATGGACTAGAAATTCAGGTGGCGATTCTCACATCTCCTTAACATGCCACTATATAAACCAAAATTTTCAACAAATTAATAGAGTTCTAAATGTTAAAACATTTAATGAGTCGCATACAGCAATAAATATTGCTCAAATTTTAGATGAAATTATTAATTATTTGGGTATAAAGAAAAATAAAATACACCTAATCATTAGAGATAATGCACCCAATATAACTTTGGCCATGAAAAATGGGAAATTTCAAAGCGTTTCGTGTTTTGCACATAGTTTGCAATTGGTTGCACAGGCAGCAATTTTATCACAGAGATCTATTATTGACATGCTTGCCCGGGTTAGAAAAATAGTAGGACACTTTAAACATTCTTCTATTGCACAAAATTGTCTAAAAGAAATCCAAATTCGATTAAGTCTAGCCCAGCACAAATTAATCCAGGATGTGCCCACCCGTTGGGATTCTACCTATTATATGCTCGAAAGATTGATAGAACAAAAAAGGGCGGTACAGCTGTTCATTATCGATAATCCTAATTTGGGAAATCTCTCATTATATGAGTGGGAATTAGCAGAAAGGGTAATTGATGTTCTTGAACCAATTCAGAGAGTAACAAAAGAAATAAGTACGGAATCATGTTCAATTAGCAATGTTATACCCTTTGTTGAAATTCTGAAAAGTGAATTAACAATTAATGGGGACACAGATAGAGGTGTGCAGACTATGAAGAATACCACTAATAATCAATTAACAACTCGGTTTTTTGATATTTATGATGATGACAATTATGTTGTCGCAACATTACTTGATCCTCGATATAAGGATTTCTTTTTGCCAAAAAAACATATCATACATAGAAAAGCTCAGGACTGCATGTGAGTCTTTTTTTAAAGGTGATGATAATGTTCAACTTCCAATTTCTAATAAAGATTCGCCAGGTTTTATATTTTTTAAAATAAATTTAGATTTTATTGTTAACTTAGGTAATGACAATGAGAAAAATGTTCCACATAACATTAAAAAATGCAAATTTAATTTAAGGGATGCTTATAAATTAAAAATCAAATAAAAACTAGTAATAAATGAAATCGATAGTAATGGAAATGATGACCTGCCATACCTAATAGAAATCAAGGAATATTTAAAAGAATCTTTATATATAGAAAGTATAACAACATATTTTTCATATTAATTTAAATATTGCTTGGTTGGGTTATGATTGACCCATTTGTTTGGGTGATTTTTCAAAATCAACAAAAGATTGGGTTTGTATGAAACCCACTATTTTATAAATGCTAATTTTATATTTGTGTTATTTATTTAGAAAACTCGAATAACATTGATGATATTGATATTATATTCCCAGTGAATCCACTTGAATATTGGAGAGTTAATGCTGCAAAATATTCAACTTTATCAACACTTGCACGTAAATTTTTGGCTCCTCCAGCAACAAGTGTCCCATCTGAGTCTGCCTTCAGTACGGCAGGGGATATTGATAGTCCTCATCGTAGAAGCCTATTGCCTTAAAATCTAGAGGCTCTTATATTTATTTTAAAAAATCTAATATATTATAATTTTATATATTAAATATTACAATTTTATAAACCAACATAAAATGGATATATTATTATATATTTTTTTTAAAATTATTGTTGAAATAAAAAAATTAAATTATGTATGCATAATTCTTTTATGCATAAAAAATATTGATTTATTAATTACATTTGGTTCAAAGAGGGTGGTGAAAAATTAATATAAATATCGGATCGGTATCGGATCGGTTTTGAACCAATATCGGAAAATATCGGATCGGATCGGTGAAAAATATGTGGATCGGCACAGCCCTAGTATTTATCAAGTTTTGCTAAGGCAGCTAAAGAAGCTCTCTTTAAAATAGTATAAGGAATATTATTGCTAGGGCTGTGCCGATCCACATATTTTTCACCGATCCGATCCGATATTTTCCGTTGGTTCAAACCCGATTCGATACCGATCCGATATTTATATTAATTTTTCACCATCCCTCTTTGAACCAAATGTAATTAATAAATCAATATTTTTTATGCATAAAAGAATTATGCATACATAATTTAATTTTTTTATTTCAACAATAATTTTAAAAAAAATATATAATAATATATCCATTTTATGTTGGTTTATAAAATTGTAATATTTAATATATAAAATTATAATATATTAGATTTTTTTAAATAAATATAAGAGCCTCTAGATTTTTAGGCAATAGGCTTCTACGATGAGGACTATCAATATCCCCTGCCATACTGAAGGCAGACTCAGATGGGACACTTGTTGCTGGAGGAGCCAAAAATTTACGTGCAAGTGTTGATAAAGTTGGATATTTTACAGCATTAACTCTCCAATATTCAAGTGGATTCACTGGGGATATAATATCAATATCATCAAAGTTATTCGAGTTTTCTAAATAAATAACACAAATATAAAATTAGCATTTATAAAATAGTGGGTTTCATACAAACCCAATCTTTTGTTGATTTTGAAAAATCACCCAAACAAATGGGTCAATCATAGCCCAACCAAGCAATATTTAAATTAATATGAAAAATATGTTGTTATACTTTCTATATATAAAGATTCTTTTAAATATTCCTTGATTTCTATTAGGTATGGCAGGTCATCATTTACATTACTATCGATTTCATTTATTACTAGTTTTTATTTGATTTTCAATTTATAAGCATCCCTTAAATTAAATTTGCATTTTTTAATGTTATGTGGAACATTTTTCTCATTGTCATTACCTAAGTTAACAATAAAATCTAAATTTATTTTAAAAAATATAAAACCTGGCGAATCTTTATTAGAAATTGGAAGTTGAACATTATCATCACCTTTAAAAAAAGACTCACATGCAGTCCTGAGATTTTCTATGTATGATATGTTTTTTGGCAAAAAGAAATCCTTATATCGAGGATCAAGTAATGTTGCGACAACATAATTGTCATCATCATAAATATCAAAAAACCGAGTTGTTAATTGATTATTAGTGGTATGACACCAACTCGGATTCACCTTCCATTAAATCAAAAGGAGTTCGATTTATCTCAGCTAATGAACAGATCAAAAAGGAAACTAATAGATATATAAATATATACGAGTATATATTTATGTTATAAATTCTTCAAACTCATAACTTATCACCACTAATCCTATTAGTAAAAAAATAAATCTTATAATTAACTCGTAAGAAACACCTTGTCTTACCGCTCGCATACCCCCTAATATAGAAAATTTCGAATTTCTTAATCAACCCCCTATAATCAAAAAATAAACGCTCACCCCTATTAATATAATAAACACTAATAATGGGTAATCGTTTATTAGAGCGAAGGATCCTTGGATCAGCACAAATTCGAAAAGGACCAAATAAAGTCCTAGTGATAGGACTGGTGCAGCCATTCATAGATGCCATCCCAAATTAGGATTATCGATAATGAACAGCTGTACCGCCCTTTTTTGTTCTATCAATCTTTCGAGCATATAATAGGTAGAATCCCAACGGGTGGGCACATCCTGGATTAATTTGTGCTGGGCTAGACTTAATCGAATTTGGATTTCTTTTAGACAATTTTGTGCAATAGAAGAATGTTTAAAGTGTCCTACTATTTTTCTAACCCGGGCAAGCATGTCAATAATAGATCTCTGTGATAAAATTGCTGCCTGTGCAACCAATTGCAAACTATGTGCAAAACACGAAACCCTTTGAAATTTCCCATTTTTCATGGCCAAAGTTATATTGGGTGCATTATCTCTAATGATTAGGTGTAATTTATTTTTCTTTATACCCCAATAATTAATAATTTCATCTAAAATTTGAGCAATATTTATTGCTGTATGCGACTCATTAAATGTTTTAACATTTAGAACTCTATTAATTTGTTGAAAATTTTGGTTTATATAGTGGCATGTTAATGAGATGTGAGAATCGCCACCTGAATTTCTAGTCCATATATCTACCGTAAAGGATAAAAAAGAATCGTCAACCAAAATTTCTTTACGAATTTTTTCGGAGAGTTTTTCATATATATCTGGAATAACTCCTTGCGAAAAATACTTTCTATTGGGAATTTTGTAATTTGGACATAAATGATGTAAAAGCCTTTTAAAGCCTATATCCTCCAAGATAGAAATCGGCTGGTGGTCACACGCTATCATTTCCCCTATAAATTTAGAAATTATTATTGATTTAGGATCAGAATGTTTCCAAATATTAGTTTTATTAAGAATGGCTGATATTGTTGGCTAACTTTCAGGGCTCTTTTTTTTGAAAATTTGATTTGTTTTTTCTAATATTTCTCGTTCTTTTTGTGTTAGCTCTTCGAATTCCTTTTGATGGCAACGCTTCAGATGTTTCCTAATGTTAGTTGTATTGAAGGAATTTTTCAGTATTCCTCCCCGTGAAATTAGAATTCCGCAGATGACGCATTTTGCAAAATTACCTTCATCTTTATCAAAATATTTCCATAATTCAGAAACCATATTTAAAATAATTTTTATTTAAAGTATAAATAATAAAATTGGTGTTATTTTTTTAAAAAATTAAAAATAAATAAAACTTTGGGTGTTCCTTTCTATTTTTATAAAAAAACTTGTAAAATCTATTTAAAAAATAAATAACATTTGCATTGTTTAAAAAAAAATTATTTATAAAATATTATTAATGTAAAATAGAAACTCGAAAAAATTTATTTTTTTTTTAAATATTTAAAAAAAATTTTTTTTATTAAAAAATAATAATTCAAAGTTTCATTACTCAAAAGTTTTATAAGAATTGCATTTTTAGTAAAAGAATCGGATCGGATCGGGTTTTTTACAGGTATCGGGCCGATCCGATATTTTTGAAAAACGCCAAATATCGGGACCGATCCGATCCGATATTTAATATCGGCACAGCCCTAATTATTGCAACTCTCAACATGCTCAAAAATTCTGGAATATAAATAAATGATGGTTAAAACTGATGGAGTGTTTACATATGAGGCCATCTCTGTAGCGAAATTAAATGGTTCCAGAAATTCTCGATATATTTCTATATTATTCCAGGTTAAGGTATTAATATAATTTTCTTCACTGGTATTTTGTAAATGATTAGTATATGTTGTCAAATAGGGTTCGAGCAATATTGCCCTTTCAGTTGGTATATGTTGAATTCCAATGTATTGGTATATCCAAAATTGGGTGAGTAAATTTTAAATTTTCTTATTTTTTTTACAGTTTTATTTAAAGGTTCTAAGGCAGCTATAAAAGCCAAATGTATAATATGGCAAAAGCATTTGAACATATTATTTAAATTATAATAACTCTTTGATTTAAAATTTTTAATAATACTAAATTATTACTTGCATTGTTTAATGTAATACAAAGAAAATCAATTTCAAATTTTACTTTTAATACAGAAATAAAAATATTATAAATATTAATAGAATTATGTGGTGATTTAAAAGGAATGAAATCTAATAAATGATTATTTAATTTAAAATCATTATTAATATAATGAATTGTTATGCTCATATAGAGTATTTAATTTGGAGAGTACCAATGTCCTTTGTTAAGGAAAATTTAGATGTAATGTTAGAAAGTATAGATTTTAGATTGTCAAAAGAGGTATGTTTCATAATTTCTATTTTTAGTGTTTTTGTAGAAACTAATGTTAGTGAAGAGTTACAAAATGCTATTAAATTTTTAAAAGTGATATTGTCAAAGTTTGAAAAGGTTAAGATGATTTAAATAAGTTTTATTATTTATATTATTAACTAAAAAATGATTTTACTGTGTTAATTTTTTTACTACCAATTTTATCAGTTTGTTCACATTTCCTATATAATATTGGGTGGATGGATTTAAGATGTGTCTATAACCCTAGGTTCCAAAATTGGGAAATAACACCAATTATGAAATCACAGCACAGAAAAGTTAATATTTGCACTAAAGAAATAACGGATGTAATAAGTTTAGTCAAAAAAAATATACCAAGATATAATCATCCACAATAAAACCAAATATATATATTGGTATTGGTTAATATTGAATTTAAACAATATATCAAACCAATATTTAGTTAATTGGTATTGGTATAGCAAACCAATGATATATTGGTATTAGTCCCATTGCTATTTACAAGGGTTACTCAATCTTGTTATTACAGTTTGAAATACTGAACAAATAACTTTTCACCATGTTGATATTGAATATGAATCAATTGCAAAATTTCAAAAATACCTTTGATATTTATTTCATTAAAAGCTTCAGATACAAATATTGTTTATTCATTAGGTATAGTAATTTATTCACCGAAAGCCATTGGCTAAAACTATTTATAATTTGATCATACGAAAAATAACTTCAATAATATAGAGGTCAATAGGATTTACATGCATATATCTTAATTTAAATAAACACCTGTATATTATATCAACAATGATTGACCCATGGTTTAAAACAAGTCACCTATTAAAGAATATAGTATAGACACTCATTAGATACCTAACCAAAGAATATAATATTTATAAAATATATAATTTCAATTCAGCAGAACATATAAATGAAACAGAAATTGTCCCTTTATGATAAAATATATCAAGTTAAACATAGTCATAACAATAATATCATAGAAATAAGCAAATATGTGGATGAAATCACAATTTCTAATGATACAAACCCAGTAGACTGGTGAAAATTACATCAAAATAGATATCCAATATTATCAAAAATTGCCAGAGATTATCTAGCAATTCCAGCTATCTCAGCTAATGATGATATGTTAAAACGGACCAACATTGTTCACTAGATGAACGGTTACATACTTTCCAAGCTTGCATGTGCCCAAAAAGTTATATGTGCATGCAGGATCCTTCTTAAAGACATAAAATTATTTTCCCTTATATTAAATTTATATATCAATCTTTTACATTGTATTTTATATAAATAGACAGTTATGTTATATTTTAGCATACTCATTTTGCTATATATTTTGTGCTAAATAAAAAATTTCAAAATCAATACATTTATTATTTGATTGGTTTGGTTTGTTGATACAAAAAATTTATTATTTATATTCACATCACGTAGTAATTCCTAGTTTAAAAAAAGAATTTGGATTCAGTATAATTTTGAATTGTTTCTTGGGCCCTGTTTTTATGGTAATGTTTCAAGATTTTTTTTTCCATATTTAATTAAAACTAGAAATTATGGTTTTTTTTTAAATCGCTCTTTTTATTTTTTAATTAGTAAGATCAAAAAATGTTTACATATTGTTTTAACATTTGAGGCTATCAGCATAAACTACTATCATCAATATATGTATTCACTCTAAGTTAATATTTATGAAATTTAATAAAAATCATATATGTTTTTATCAAATTCATGTAACCTTACTCAGATGTGACTAATAAACCTGGAAATTTTCTTTATTCTTAAAACCATAAAATAAAATTGCTTATTTTTAATAATAAAAATTATGTATATTTTTAAAATTGCTCAATATGAATGGTGGAATAGCTTAAATCAAAATTTTTATTAGTGAATTAAGGTTAAAAACAAATACAATAAAATTTATATTACTTATAATTAATTTCCTTTATGGCACATGAAGTAAACTTATTGTCTTATCATGACCATCCAACATTACATTTAAACTCTTCAGCCTATTTTATTTAAACAGGATTAAATAAATCAACAGATATATATTACTTTAAATTATTTTCAGACTTTATGGCCTCTATTCTAATAAATCCATTGTGTTTAGGTGCTTTAAATGGTATAGTAACCTAAATTATTCTAGAGATATTTCAAACAATGAGATTACTTTGGCAGATTCAGAATTAACATAATTTTCTTCAAAATCCATTATTTTAATTTTTTTCATAGTAATTGGTTCACCAACAATATTTACTAAAGGTTTATACTGTCTAATTATTTGAACACTTTGTTTGTAGAATTCTTGTTCTTGAAACAATCCTAAAATTAAATTTACTTGATGTAATAAAATAATATATTAAAAAACTTTGAGCTTTTGAGTCAATGTTATGCTTAAAATATAAAATACAACCACCAACTAAGGCAGTTGCCAATGATATATATTGCATAAAGTGTAGCTTTTAAATGTGCTATGGAAAATTATGAGTAAAGTCATTTGATCGTAAATTTAGTCAATTTTTTTCTGATTGGTCTATTTCATCGCAAACATTATGCTTAATACTGTAGCTGATATTATAATACTATTTTTTAAAAGAAGAAATGAATCATTGCAAAGTATGATATATTATATTAAATTTAATTATAAAAAAAATATTTTTTAGACAACTCAATAAAATATATTAAATCTAATAAAGGTAAGGATATACTCTGCTATAACCTTTTTCAATATACCATACATAGAATAGCTGAGCCTACAGTATATGTTAGTAGGTAGTTTATTTGAAGTGACACAAGATTATCTAACAGCTGAAGGTATATTTAATACTAAACCTTTGTGCAGATCAGAATTCCAACATACCCAGTAGATCCAAATATATATGCTTTTAGACATGGGGATGAGCTTAAAGAAAACCAATAATAAATATATAACAAAAGAAAAGAATATAAATAATCTTATTAATCAATATTATTTAAAAATTATAGACAAATTGATAAATAAAATCTTATGACTCAATTATCATTTAATTTTATTTATAAGTTATATTAAGAAATTAATGTATCATTTTATATGGCATAGGTTATATTAAGAAAATGCATAAGAAATATTCTTAATCATTAAAATTAATTTTAAGTAATCATAAGTTATATTGAGAAAATGCATAAGAAATATTCTTAATCATTAAAATTAATCTTAAGTAATCATAAGTTATATTGAGAAAATGCATAAGAAATATTCTTAATCATTAAAATTAATCTTAAGTAAACATAAGTTATATTGAGAAAATGCATAAGAAATATACTTAATCATTAAAATTAATTTTAAGTAATCATAAGTTATATTAAGAAAATGCATAAGAAATATCTTAATCATTAAAATTAATTTTAAGTAATCATAAGTTATATTGAGAAAATGCATAAGAAATATTCTTAATCATTAAAATTAATTTTAAGTAATCATAAGTTATATTGAGAAAATGCATAAGAAATATTCTTAATCATTAAAATTAATCTTAAGTAATCATAAGTTATATTGAGAAAATGCATAAGAAATATTCTTATTCATTGAAATTAATCTTAAGTAATCATAAGTTATATTGAGAAAATGCATAAGAAATATTCTTAATCATTAAAATTAATCTTAAGTAATCATAAGTTATATTGAGAAAATGCATAAGAAATATTCTTAATCATTAAAATTAATCTTAAGTAATCATAAGTTATATTGAGAAAATAAGAAATATTCTTAATCAATAAAACTAATCCTAGGTAATCATATTAATAAAGTTCAGTTATATTAAGAAATTGTTTATATTTGCTAATTAAATTTTATTAATAGGTATAGATTTAAAATATATATTACATTGCTACATAAAATACTCACAATATAAAATATCATAATATAATTAAAACAATGTCTGATATATTAAAATTTATTGCATCTAATATAAGAATGGCATATAATCTGATAGATGATAATAAAAATTTCTTGCATCTGATATAAGAATTGCATATAATCTGATAGATGATAATAAGAATTTCTTGCTTGGATTTGATAAAAAATTGCTTGGAATTATCTAATATATTAAATAAAAAAAAATGTATAAGATTGTATATAATCTGATAAAAAATTACTTGGAATTATCTAATATATTAAATATAAAAAAATGTATAAGATTGTATATAATCTGATAGATGATAATAAAAATTTCTTGGTTGGATTTGATAAAAAATTGCTTGGAATTATTTAATATATTAAATACTAAAAATCATCCATTTTGACCGAAAATGGACCAAATGGACCATTTTACGATCAAAATTTTACGATCAAAGGAGGCCCTCCCAAAATTATCATTCCGTTTTCATTCATTCATTACAACGCTAGAAATTACACCCACCAGGTGGACGGTACCGCTATGTAGTCATCTATCATAATAAAGAAGAATAGTGCGATATATTAGTTCCATTACCGGCAGAATGGTGGTAAAAGTTGAAAGGTCATACAATAATATATAATAACAGCATGTACCTTACGCTGGGATAGATTATTTAAAAAGAAAATTTGATTCTTTTGTTTTGATAAATGCTTCTTCTAGGATGTTATCGTTATGTCTATATGGTGTGTCTTATAGAAGAAAATATCCTTTGTACTAGTTCCAGAAGTTTCTTAGATCTCTACTAGTGTATAATCAGTTCCTGATTATCACTATCATCATTATTTTTAATCTAATCTTTAATTTTTTTGCATGTCGATATCGTGTGTTCTGCATACCATTTGTTTGTGCTAAGCCATATGGTACTCGGAATCCTCTGTATCATAATTATCATTATAGTGAACGGTATTTTTATTAATATTATTATTCAATCTTTAATTCTTGCGTTGTGGATATAGTATATATAGGAGAAAAAGCAGAGTTGTCAATATCATCTTCATCATACAATCATAAGAATTGAATGTATGCCAACTATAAAATAAAATGACATAATAGGTCATGAGTGATAGTTTCAATATTTTATAACGAAATGCTAGAAAGAGAAAAGAACTTGCTATCATAAATGAAGATCAGGCACTTCTAATCAGAGATCTGTTAGACACAATTTTTTAGACCCAGCTCGACACGTAAGAAATGAATACGATTTATTTTTAAAAATAATTCTTAATCTGATTATAAAATGATATGTAAGCTAACCATGATTTATTGATATAATTTATTAAATTCAGATTTGTGGGAAAAATATTTCACCTGACCAACCTAAAAAATATTTTTATCCAGTCCCGACTTAAGTTAATCACACTTTTCAAACAAACCGCCCGGTCGAGTCGATTTGGTTAGAGTTTTAAATAGAATAAAAGGGACCAGGAGTCATAGCCATGGAAGGGGAATAAATTTTCACTAATTTTGTTTTTAATGAATTAGAGTTTCTTTTTAATTTTTAATGATAGGGTAGGATGGGAGTTAAAAAAAAATGAGGAAGAGTGTGGGTGGTAGCTACTTTCATCATTGGCTAGTAAGTGTAGAAATGGACAAAGGCAGAATGACAAGGGCTTGCAAATTATTCATATTTTAAAGAGGTTGAATTATTTGGAAAAATATCAGAAAGGCATGAATGAGATATATGATTTAAAGCAGGTATATCATTAGACACATTATGACAGCCGATTTTTTTTTTGCATTGGAATCTGTAATTATATTATTTAGTTAAACAACTATCTTAATCTTAAGCAAAGTTTTTCAAAAAAAATATATAAACGTGTTTAAAATTTAATTTAAGACGTGGCGATACACTGTATTTAGAATCTAAATTATTTCGAGTATATCTTTTATATTTCAAGTCCATAGGAGTATGCCGTTTGATTCGTCGTAGGAATAAAAATATAATATAATTTTCTGGCTAGTACAAATACGAAAATTTTATATTTCTCTACTTAGAAACACAGAATATATATATAAACAATATATAAAAATTCTCATGCATATCTTCCTTATTATCATCTTCCAAACTAACTAATATGATCTCCTAAAAATGTATTGGATATCCTGGAATAATTCCCTCAAAAAATTAATTTCCTCCAAATTATATCAGTGATAAAATAGTAATAAGATATTCTTGAACAATTTTATGTATGGATTTAATTTTTCTAACAATACCAGTGAAATTTAAGATAGATAATATCGTAGTGGTAAATGTTTATGATAGGAAATTAATTTATTTCCAATAATATCTTTGGATAATATAGCGGCCCCTCTCTACCAATTAAACAAAAAATAATATTGATATGAATTAAATTTCTTCGCAATAATATCTCTACCTAACATTAACGGTTCTTCTTCATTTTGATCGTAAAGAGCAGTATAGGGAATCTAAACAGCATTTCAGTGCAATGGTAATATAATGGCTATAACATTGCGATATATTCACATTTTCCCAAAGAATTCGATCCTTCGTTCGCGATAACATTTTCATAATTGTGTTTTATTTTGATTTAAAAAAATGTATAAGAGTATCAACGTTAGGGAAACTAAATTATTTTGAGTATCTCTTTTTTGCCAACTTCTAATCACAATTAATATAATATTGAATACAATTTTCAATTTAAAATTAGTCTATAAAAATAAAACTCTCCCTCTTTTAAAATCGAAAGTAATTATATATAAACAAAATACAATAAATTGATTTATCTTATAAATGTGCATAGACTTGTATAAATACAATAATATTATTGAAGTAAAACTTAGAAAGTAAGATATAATGTTGACCAATAATTTTACTAAATATATTATAAATGAGGCGAAATCAAATTTTTATCGTTTTGATATTTACACCGAGGCAAACACATTGTTCCAATATTAGCGTTGCCTCTATTGAAGATTAATTTCAAACAGTCGTATTTTATACTCCTTAGATATATTATTTCCAAATCAAAGAAAGATTTGCAATACATGACTCTGTCTTATTTACCAATATTGAGGACCTGCCAATTTCAAAATTTAAATCTTGAAAGATTTATAGTAGGGAATAATCTTCCAAGAAACACCTTAGATTGCTTACTTTTAAATAAATTTTAGAGTTTTTCCAAACATATAAATATTACTTTATATTTTTTGATTTAGCAACAATACCTATATAAGCTAAAGTACAACTGAACTTGATTACGGAAAACAAAAACCAATTTTAAAAGTACGGCATCAGAAATTCAAGCAATTGGATTATCTTTATTTAATATATATAACATAGTTATTCGATCCCCGGTACAGAGAAACTTACTAATAAGTTTATTCAATAGCAAAAAAAATTAAATTATCATTATGAATGATATTTTGAATTGTATATTTTATTGGGATTTTAATAATTATTAGTAGAATGCCCGTTAAAAATGACGGGGAATTGGAATTTTATTCTTTTTTTACGATAGATGCTTTTATTTAAAAATCATATCCAATTTATATTCTTTTTAACCTCATCCCCCATTCAGGTCAAGTCCAACTAATGTCATTGAGTCCAACCC